TTTTATGACATCGGGGCTCGGTCACGTTCCCGCAAAACGTAGCATTTACTGACCGTAGCTAGCTGTATCTTGCAGCTGTTATTATTGCTCCGATCCAAAAGTGACAGAGAGGACGAAAGTGCGAGGGGGAGTGTGAATTAGCTGGGTTAGCTAGCTAACTAGGAGGGCTGAAGCCAAGTGAGGCCTGTGACCGAGAGGATCCCTTCCGACAGAAACACGGCGAAATCATGGCCAACATCGCGGTTCAAAGGATAAAACGGGAATTTAAAGAGGTTCTCAAAAGCGAGGAGGTGGGTTGTTTATTTTCTTCAGTGAATGCAACGCTAGGTAGCTAGCAGCTAGTTAGCAAGCTAATGTTAGCAGAGTTTGTGTCAAACACGATTGCCTGTTGGAAATGAGTGTTTTGTTAGCTAACACAGCTAGCTAGCGGTACTTAGCCAGATGTTAACAAAAGCGAAGGCCATGAAAGGAAAATGTGACTGGCTTTTTGTTAACTACGTTACGGTTAGTTGTGCTGCTAGCCTACAGGAAATCCCATACCTGGATGCCAGCTACAGATAGCGTTTCCTGCGAAGGTAGCAACCTAGTTAGGCCAGGGGTTGTGAAAGAAGCAACGCAAAAATGCTCACCCTGGCTTGATATGATGTTTAAATCAACCTAGAGGTGAAGACGTTAGATAACTGGTTAGTTAGCCAACAACTAACGCTGTGTTACCACCAATGATGGTTATAATTGGTTACCACCAGGGTGTCAACTTCTGCCGCATTGGCAGAGGGTTCGAAAGCTAACGTTAGTGTGACATTTTCTACCTGTCCTGTTGCAGGCTAGGTTGACGATAAGTAATCCAATATGATAAATAACTTGCCTCAAAACCCAATTTAACTGCCATCTAATATTAGGATTTTAGGGGACAAAATGTAACTTTTGTTCAGGTGTTATACTTTGTATTCCATGTTGTAGATGCTTCTCGCAGAAACACAGAACACAATTTCAAGAGGATAGGATTTACTGTAGCTGAGAGATGATATTGAAAAAGGTCGGGGACAGGTCCATGTTAATCCCTAGTCGATAATGGCATCAAATCACCTGTCTGGATTCTTAAATTCACCATGTTTTGTCCAATTTCTCAAGATAAGGTGGTCATATTGTTATGACATCTTTTCAATTAAAATTATATATTATGCAAATGAGGCAGTACGGAATACATAATTACAGTAATTTAAGACCAATAATTTTAAGTAGGGTGGTCAGAGTTTGTAACAATTTGAAACAATGTATGAAATTAGAATATCACTTTTTATACTACTTTATGCCAATTAGATACTTAATACACACACAGCATCCCCACACACAGCCTAAAACAGACACACTTCTCAGCATCCCTTCACACTCACAGCACCCCCACCAACACACACACACACCACGTAGCCTAACACAGATTCTCACTAAGTCTGAACTGTAACACAGAAGGTTCCTAGTTGAATAACATAGCTTACTTCTAAGGTAGGCCTACACCTGAGTTGGGTTAAATTGTAAAGTTGTTTTTGGTGTTGATTAATTACTCTGGTGATGGGAGGATAAACTGCAGCAAATAATTAGCCTAAGCACACAACAGTGAGCTGCATGCTAGAACCAGCTGCACCAAAGATAGATGGGAAACATTTTCAATTCACTGGTATTTAGCTATATTTTTATTGATTGTAGGGCTGTAGCCACTGAATTCTGGTAGTTTTTACTTTAAAGAATAAAACCATCAATCACAAAATTCACCACTTGCCTGGCTCGTTGCCTCAATGAAAGGCGTCAGGCACTCCCCACACAGCTAGCACTAGTCATGGGAATGGGGGTGGCGAAACGTGAAATTGGACCAATCCCTGACAACCCATACATCAAAATGTAGCTACGAAGCTCTACTTTGTAACCTGCTGTTTTTTTCTGTGTCTCTGAAAACATCTGAATGACAGATCAAAGAAAAAACGTTTTACCTTATATACTGAACAAAAATATAAACGCAACAGATTTGACTGAGTTACAGAAAATCAGTCAACTGAAATTAATTATAATCTATGGATTTCACATGACTGGGAATAAAGATATGAAGCTGTTGGTCACATACCTTAAAATAGGTAGGGATGTGGACTATAAAACCAGTCAGTATCTGTTGTGACCACCATTTGCCTCATGCAGCGCGACACATCTCCTTCGCATAGTCGATCAGGCTGTTGATTGTGGCCTTTGGAATGTTGCCCCATTCCTCTTCAATGGCTGTGCGAAGTTGCTGGATATTGACTGGAACACACTATCACACACGTTGATCCAGAGCATCCCAAACATGCTCAACGGGTGACATGTCTGGTGAGTATGCAGGCCATGGAAGAACTGGGACATTTTCAGCTTCCAGGAATTGTCTACAGATCCTTGCAACATTGGGACATGCATTATCATGCTGAAACATGAGGTGATGGCAGCGGATGAATGGCATGACAATGGGCCTCAGGATCTCGTCAACTTACCATAACCCCACCGCCACCATGGGGCACTCTGTTCACAATGTTGACATCAGCAAACCGCTCGCCCACACGACACCATACACGTGGTCTTCAAGTGTGAGGCCGGTTGGACGTACTGCCAGATTCTCTAAAACGACATTGGAAGGTGTGTGTTGGCGGCGGCTAATGGTAGAGAAATGAACATCCAATTCTTTGGCAACAGCTCTGGTGGACATTCCTGCAGTCAGCATGCTCCCTACAAAACTTGAGATATCTGTGGCATTGTGTTGTGACAACTGCACACTTTATAATATTATTATTATTATTATTTATAATTGCCCTTTGTTACCAGCACAAAGTGCACCTGTGTAATGATCATGCTGTTTAATCATCTTCTTGATATGCCAAACCTGTCAGGTGGATGGATTATCTTGGCAAAGGAGAAATGCTAATTAACAGGGATGTAAGCAAATTTGTGCACAATTTGAGAGAAATAAGCTTTTTGTGCGTATGGAAAATATCTGGGATCTTTTATTTCAGCTCATGAAACATGGGACCAACACTTTACATGTTGCCTTTATATTTTTGTTCAGTGTAGTTCAGTCAAAAGACGTCCGATGATCGTGAAACACCCGTGGGACTTTACCGTACCTCATGGCCGTACAATGTTACATCGATCTTACTCTGAGAGGTTGAGGAATACCCATCGCAATTATAAACACAACGATTTGGGGGGTTTCACAAAAAGGGTTGGCCCCCAGATTTGAATGTTCTTGGCACAATATTGGGATTTTTAGACATGGGTAACAACTGCCACATTGTTTTCAAATTATTTATTATGTATTTTTTGACGACCACATAATTGACATTTTGGGTGCGTTCGTAAATTCGCTCTGGCTATTTACTCTCGTCTGAGTGTGCCAGAGCGCAGAATAACTGATGAATTTACGAACGTTCAACACACGTTGAATATGGCCGGTGTCAGTAAACGTCACCAAAATAGCACAATTAAATTGTTGCCATCAGCACATTTACTGTCACCAACGCTATGGATAACATGAAAACAGCCTAACCAGCTCTTCTTGGGCGAGTAAAATGGTCAGTGAGGTGTTCTCTCGTTTGTCTGGAAGTAGCTAGCCAACGTTAGCCGGTTAGCTTGGATGCTTGACTGCCGTTGTGAGGTCAGAACGCTTGGATCAACCCTCGGCCAGAGCGTCCAGTGTGCGCTCTGAACACTCCGAGAGCGAAACGCTCTGAATTTAGCTACAAACGGACAACGCTCTGAATTTACGAACGCCCAGAGAGGGTCAGGCTGCTTGGGCTTTGCGGTGGCCACTGGTTTGTTTGTCCTCGGCAGAACGGTGTCGCCGTAACCAAGTGGTCACATATAGTTCTGGGTTCCACTGCACAATAGTGTTGCATGGTATGCTGAAACTTTTTTGATACTAGAACATAAACGGTTCGGTACTCACATTTTTGTTACTTTCGGTACTTCTGCCAAATGTGTCTGACAGATCAAGCCTGTCTATCAGCGCACCCGACCCCTTATTATAGCGCGCACAGTGCCTGGTCCACTTACTCAGTGCTAGCCTGCACTAGGAGTCTGGGCTGCATCATGTTAGCTCCCACTCGTTCTGCACAGAAGTTAAAACACTTGGATAATGTGACACGGCATGTAGAAATGTTGAAAATGTTCATAACTGTTCGCAAAACAATGTCCCTACAGGCTAGAACACTTTACAATGCAAGAAGATACCGGTAGCTTCCAGCTATTGTAGGCTAACCTTCTTTGCTACCTAACAGCTAAAGGTAACATCAATTCACTACCTTAGTACTTTGTGCAAATCATAACGCAAAATATGCTGATTTGAAAGCCGATTGCCACCAACATTTTTATTAATTCACTTGTTTGTTCACGTCTCTCCCAAATGTTATCTATTGCCTCAGCGAACTGACTGTGCTCCGAAGTGCCACCCCTTCTTGTCTTAATGTCATTACTGGTTAAAGAGACAGGGCACATTTTTATAAATTATTACCGTAATGTTATCATGTAGTTAGATTGGTGAAAACTATTGTGTGTTGATTGTATAATTGATTCATTAATGCATCCATGGCTGTCTGAAAGTTTTCATTTAAAACAATTCAAATTTAATGATGTTGAACTCAAAAAAAGCCCAACGTTTTAGCAGAGCAGTAGCTGAGTTTCTGTCTACAGCAAGCTCCATTCTGTGACTTTGGTATCTTTTTAGTATAGAGTATCGTAATGGTATAGAGTATTGTGATGATAAACCTGGTATCGGTATCAAAGTAAAAATTCTGGTATCGTAAGTAGGCCTTGTGCATAGAGTTGTATGGTTTGTTTAACTTTGCAATCAATGGTTTTTACTTGGCATACTTTTTAAAGTGGAAAATGGGCATCTCAGCGTCATTCGTTTGCTGTGGAATTGGCCCTTTGGATATCGTATCAGAATCTATAGCACAAGTCACAAATTAACTGTCAAACTTCTCATAATGTTGCTTGTTATTAAAGTATCTGTCGTACTCAAGTACAAGGAGACAGATCATGTGAAAGTATTAGCTCTCACTTTTCTGTGAGATTGTCTGTGTTGAGAGGATGTTGGGATGAGGTACCGTCTGACGGATACCCCTCCTTTCCTTACACCCTGGCCCATGCTCTGTGACAGAACCAACTGATGTACTCTTCTCTCTGACAGACGAGTAAAAACCAGATAAAGGTGGACCTGGTGGATGAGAACTTCACAGAGCTGAAGGGGGAGATCGCAGGGCCACCTGACACACCGTATGAAGGTGAGAGGCCTGACTTTGGAATTTAGACAGACTGGTTTACCTGGGACAGACTTAACCTGGGTTTACTTGAAGGCTGAGGCCAACTTCCTAACTTACCACAATAGGATTCAAAGCACTTTTACCTCAAGGGAGCGTGGCTCATGTCATGCAAAAGGATACAGAAGATTTCTTTCTGTGATATTTTTTATTTTTTTTGTTCAGGTGGTAGATATCAACTAGAAATAAAAATTCCAGAAACATATCCCTTCAATCCACCAAAGGTAGGTAGGTTTGTGTGTATATATAGTACCAGTCAAAAGTTTGGACACACCTACTCATTCAAGGGTTGTTCTTTATTTGTACTATTTTCTATATTGAAGAATAATAGTGAAGACTTCAAAACTATGAAATAACACATATGCATTCATGTAGTAACCAAAAAAGTGTTAAACAAATCAAAATGTATTTTATATTTGAGATTCTTCAAATAGCCACCCTTTGCCTTGATGACAGCTTTGCACACTCTTGACATTCTCTCATCCAGCTTCACATGGAATGCTTTTCCAACAGTCTTGAAGGACTTCCCACATATGCTGAACACTTGTTGGCTGCTTTTCCTTCACTCTGCGGTCCGACTCATCCCAAACCATCTCAATTGCGTTGAGGTCGGGGGATTGTGGAGGCCAGGTCATCTGATGCAGCATTCCATCCCTCTCCTTCTTGGTAAAATAGCCCTTACACAGCTGGGAGGTGTGTTGGGTCATTGTCCTGTTGAAAAACAAATGATAGTCCCACTAAGCCCAAACCAGATGTGATGACGTATGGCTGCAGAATGCTGTGGTAGCCATGCTGGTTAAGTGTGCCTTGAATTCTAAATAAATCACAGACAGTGTCATCAGCAAAGCACCTCCATACCATAACACCACCTCCTCCATGCTTTACGGTGGGAACTACACATGCAGAGGTAATCCATTCACCCACACCGCGTCTCACAAAGACACAGCGGTTGGAACCAAAAATCTCAAATTTGGACTCCAGACCAAAGGACAAATTTCCACCGGTCTAATGTCCATTGCTCGTGTTTCTTGGCCCAAGCAGGTCTCTTCTTCTTATTGGTGTCCTTTAGTAGTGGTTTCTTTGCAGCAATTCGACCATGAAGGCCTGATTCACACAGTCCCCTCTGAACAGTTGATGTTGAGATGCGTCTGTGACTTGAACTCTGTGAAGCATTTATTTGGGCTGCAATTTCTGAGGCTGGTAACTCTAATGAACTTATCCTCTGCAGCAGAGGTAACTCTGGGTCTTCCATTCCTGTGGCGGTCCTCATGAGAGCCAGTTTCATCATAGCACTTGATGGTTTTTGCGACTGCACTTGAAGAAACTTTCAAAGTTCTTGACATTTTCCGTATTGACTGACCTTCATGTCTTAAAGTGATGATGGACTGTCGTTTCTCTTTGCTTGTTTGAGCTGTTCTTGCCATAATATGGACTTGGTCTTTTACCAAATAGGGCTATCTTCTGTATACCCCCCCTACCTTGTCACAACACAACTGATTGTCTCAAACGCATTAAGAAGGAAATAAATTCCACCAATTAAATTTAAGAAGGCATACCTGTTAATTGAAATGCATTCCAGTTGACTACCTCATGAAGCTGGTTGAGAGAATGCCAAGAGTGTGCAAAGCTGTCATCAAGGCAAAGGGTGGCTATTTGAAGAATCTCATATTTTGATTTGTTTAACACTTTGTTGCTTACTACATGATTCCATATGCGTTATTTCATAGTTTTGATGTCTTCACTATTATTCTACAATGTAACAAATAGTAAAAATAAAGAAAAACCCTTGAATGAGTAGCTGTGTCCAAACTTTTGACTGGTAGTGTGTGTGTGTGTGTGTGTGTGTGTGTGTGTGTGTGTGTGTGTGTGTATATACACAGTGGTGTGAAAGTGTTTGCCCCCTTCCTGATTTCTTATTTGTTTACATGTTTGTCACACGTAAATGTTTCAGATCATCAAACAAATTTAAATATTAGTCAAAGATAACGCAAGTAAACACAATGCAGTTTTGAAATGAAGGTTGTTATTATTAATGGAAAACAAAATCCAAACCCACATGGCCCTGTGTGAAAAAGTGATTGCCCCCTACAACCTAATAACTGGTTGGGCCACCCTTAGCAGCAACAACTGCAATCAAGCGTTTGCGATAACTTGCAATGAGTTTTTTACAGCGCTGTGGAGGAATTTTGGCCCACTCATCTTTGCAGAATTGTTGTAATTCAGCCACATTGGAGGGTTTTCGAGCATGAACTGCCTTAAGGTCATGCCATAGCATCTCAATATGATTCAGGTCAGGACTTTGACTAGGCCACTCCAAAGTCTTCATTTTGTTTTTCTTCAGCCATTCAGAGGTGGACTCGCTTGTGTGTTTTGGATCATTGTCCTGCTGCAGAACCCAAGTTCGCTTCAGCTTGAGGTCACGAACAGATGGCCGGACATTCTCCTTCAGGATTTTTTGGTAGACAGCAGAATTCATGGTTCCATTTATCACAGCAAGTCTTCCAGGTCCTGAAGCAGCATAACAGGCCCAGACCATCACACTACGACCACCATATTTTACTGTTGGTATGATGTTCTTTTTCTGAAATGCGGTGTTACTTTTACGCCAGATGTAATGGGACACACACCTTCCAAAAAGTTCAACTTTTGTCTCGTCAGTCCACAGAGTTTTTTCCCAAAGGTCTTGGGGATCATCAAGATGTTTTCTGGCAAAAATGAGACAAGCTTTAATGTCACTTTTTGCTCAGCAGTGGTTTTCATCTTGGAAGTCTGCCATGCAGGCCATTTTTGCCCAGTCTCTTTCTTATGGAGGAGTCATGAACACTGACCTTAACTGAGGCAAGTGAGGCCTGCAGCTCTTTGGATGTTGTTGTGGGGTCTTTTGTGACCTCTTGGATGAGTCGTCGCTGCGCTCTTGGGGTAATTTTGGTCGGCCGGCCACTCCTGGGAAGGTTCACCACTGTTCCATGTTTTCGCCATTTGTGGATAATGGCTCTCACTGTGGTTCGCTGGAGTCCCAAATCTTTAGAAATGGCTTTATAACCTTTTCCAGACTGATGGATCTCAATTACTTTCTTTCTCATTTGTTCTTGAATTTCTTTGGATCTCGGCATGACGTCTAGCTTTTGAGGATCTTTTGGTCTACTTCACTTTGTCAGGCAGGTCCTATTTAAGTGATTCCTTGATTGAGAACAGGTGTGGCAGTAATCAGGCCTGGGTGTGGCTAGAGTAATTGAACTCAGGTGTGATAAACCACAGTTGAGTTGTGTTATAACAGGGGGGGGGCAAACACTTTTTCACACAGGGCCATGTAGGTTTGGAGTTTGTTTTCCATTAATAATAACAACCTTCATTTCAAAACTGCATTTTGTGTTTACTTGTGTTATCTTTGACTAATATTTAAATGTGTTTGATCTGAAACATTTAAGTGTGACACATGCAAACAAATAACAAATCAGGAAGGGGGCAAACACTTTTTCACACCACTGTATATATCTCAAACATATTCTGATGTTTGTTGTGTATTTTGTCAACATTGACCGGTGCCAGGGTGAAGTCCCTTGCTAATTCATTTGCTTGTTTATGTGCTTCCCCTGGCCCCCCAGGTGCGATTTATCACGAAGATTTGGCATCCCAACATCAGCTCAGTCACAGGTGCAATATGTCTGGACATCCTCAAAGACCAGTGGTGAGTCACCTTTTTTCAATACTCTTAAATTCAATTTTTTTCATTGTCATGTCTTGGTTAAGACTGATCCCAGTTCGTACTGCTCTGTGTACCCTCTGTGTGTCTGACAGGGCGGCAGCTATGACGCTGAGGACAGTGCTGCTGTCACTACAGGCCTTACTGGCAGCTGCAGAACCAGACGACCCACAGGACGCTGTAGTGGCCAATCAGGTGAGAGGAACACTGTGTGCATGTGTGGGAGAGGGAGCGCATGCATAAGTATGCCTGTAATGTCTTTGTAGATTTTCTAATGTGTTTTTTAGACTTGCTCTGTCTCCCCACTGCTTTATTCTACAATGGGTTGAGCAAAACAAGCATTGCGGTTGGTTGAGACGCGTTCTAAACCATACTGAAAAATCAGTTTAGCACGGGTAAGCCTATGATGCAAAAATGGGCATCTTGTGTTCTGTTCCATCTGTAAAAAGTATCTAGACGTTATTTCCCCTTGCTTCTAGCCTAACATTTGATTTGGAACGACGGGGGTTTGTACCAACGTTCCTGTCTGTCTCTCGACATTTGCAACATTGTTTCAATATTGAAATTCGATCTCCACTGTCCTATTGAGAATTAACGTGTCAGGACGAGATGGACATCTTTTCTCAGCAGGTTGAAATCATGAATCAGCATCATTTTTATGGATATATACAAAGAGATGTCCATAGAAAAACAGGTCAAACGAAATGAAATGCAGCTACTTTGCTGTTATTCTAGTGACTGTGTTAGCCATAGTTGGCTGGCTAGCTAGCAAGCAAGCGATAAGAGCATTGCCAGCCAGCATGGGAACGGAACATTTAGAACGAATGACTGGGATATAGAACAAAGACTTAACGACTGGGTCGCGACTCTGGCAGCCTAACCGATAGAATGAACGGCCAGCCGCCTTGGCTAGCAACCGTAAATGCGTCGGGGCTAGCCTATATTTCTGTTGAGGGATGAAATAGTAGCCTATGAATACATTGATCAAAATATATATTTTTAATTGGTAACCCGCTGTAGAAAAGCTATTGTACATTCGAGGTTGTACAAAACAACTTCTTTATCACTAAAAAAGTGCTAAAAAAAGTAGTTTAGCACGCCCTCTCGTGTACAATTGCTTTACTAAATTGTAGCCTAGTGAGGTTTTTTTATACTGCTGTCTTGCTGCCTACTCAGTGTTGTGTGTTCTCACTCTTTAGTATAAGCAGAACCCAGAGATGTTCAAACAGACGGCCAGACTCTGGTCTCACGTGTACGCCGGCGCCCCCTCCTCCAGTCCAGAGTACACCCGCAAAATAGACAAACTCTGTGCCATGGGCTTCGATAAAGTGAGTGGGCCCCATGTGACCAGCTCTATTACTGTCTCAGTGGTCGATACCTTCATAACTCATTTACATTTTAATATGGTTCACCAATGGATCTGTTTTGTGTTCGAATACTGTAGCATAGTTATGACTGTGTTATAAACTTCCTTCTCTCCTGTTTGTCCCGTCTCCACAGAATGCAGTAATAGTGGCGTTGTCGTCGAAATCCTGGGACGTGGAGACGGCGACAGAGCTACTGCTCAGTAACTGAGACTCAATGGCCCCCTGGTCCCAAACCACCCATCACACCACCTCACCCCCCGGCCCCCATCATACACACCCTCTCCTTCAGCCTCCCTCCATCTGAAGCCCTCTGTTCCTCTGACCCCTCACCTCCACACCTGTTGGATACCCCCTCTCAATCTCCTGGCACTTCTCCCCTTTGTCGTAATCACCATCATCTCTGTTCTGTACCACGCTCCATCTTCCATGCCATCTTCACATTGGCACTATACCCTTCCATTTCACATACCTCAATCAAATGACTTGAACCAAGTGCCCTTCCTCTCTGCTCATGCTGGACCCCATTCACTCGCTGGCTTTGTCCAAACACTCTCCACTGGCATCCTATTTAACTATACAATCGGTTTACATCAGCTACGACCTTGAAGAAGGTAAGGAAACAGTGTTAGATTGTTTGAACAGGGCCATTTTCTTAATCTCCACCATCTCCACCCTTTTGGCACTTGCTAGCAAACATCTCTGATGTTTCCTTGCAGTAGCCACATCCATATCATGCCCATCATGTCACCTGTCTTAACAGTTTTACCTTCCCAAACTCCCCTCCCCACCCCCCTCCTGATTCATAATCATCACTCTTTCCTCCTACCCCTTTTTATTTGGATCTGGCCTCCTACAGGAAGACATTTGGATTCCCATTTTTAAAAAGAAAGAAAGAAAACAAAAAGCAGGAAGCGCTCACCTCATTGTTCACCGATAACGCTACTCAAGCAAATTGAGACTGGAAGTAAAAAAAATAATTAAAGGTGTGAAAAATATGGCATCCACTGAACTACGCCAACAGAGAAAAAAACTGTCGAAAGAATTCATCTGTAAATAAAGCTATTAAAGTCTGTGTAAATTAATCCAAAACGTGTGGAATTTGTATTATGTGCTTTTAAGGAATGCATAATATTGTATAATATTTTTATGATTTTGTGTGTTTGCATTTGTGTGTGCGATTAGTAGTCTTCCCTCTGTGTGTAAAAAATCTAGGGTGAGAAGCTACATTTATGATGCTGGCGAAATAAAGTCCAGTGGGAATTATATACTTGGGGAAAGTAGAACAAGCATATTCATTACAATAGAATGGTGTGCATGTAACCATGCTGCATACATATGCATATTTATTTCAATAAGTGCATTTGTATGCACAGCAGCACTGCACCGTCAGTGGCACCAAAGGAATTACTAAATGGGTTGAACCTGTCAGTAGAGATGATTAAAAACCCACATGCTACTGGATCAGTGCAGGAGCTAGATTGACGTATTGTACAATGGACTCTCAGTTCATGTTTGAGAAAAGCCACAGAGCATATTGTCTGTGTAGTCAGGCGAGTTATTAGTCAGAACACAAGCAGATGGCAGCGTAGGTAGCATGTGTCTGGGCTAGCCTCGCCAACAAGTCCATCTTTAATCACAGGAGTGGACCTGGCAGCACTCTCTTATACCCATATTGCAGCCTGCGTGCCTGCACTGGGAAGAATGCCCCTACAAGCTTGTGTGGGTGCTTGTGTGTTTCAGTCTGTGTTTCTGGGAGCAGTCTATACTTTGTAAGTAGGCTTACACTCTTAGGAAAAAAAAGATGCTAAGGATTCTTCGGTTTGTCCCAATAGGGGAACCCATTTTGGTGCTAGGTAGAACACTTTGCAAAGGGTTCTACCTAGAACCCTCTATGAAGGGTTCTTCCTAGAACCCTCTGAATGGTTCTACCAACATTAATTGCATTTTTTTATTATTATTATTTATTTTTACAATACATTACATTAATAAGGCTTTTCATTCCGGGCCTAGTTAAACACAGTGGTCGTAAACTCCTGGTTTACAGGCCATATTAGGCCTGCAAGTCACATTATGCTGGCTTGCAAAGTGATGTGTAATTCTTATTGGAATCCAGCTAGAGTGAGGATATCCAACAAAAGCTGAGGTGCATAAAGATGGTGGCCTCCATGCACTTACCATAAATGCCTTCTTTACCAAGTTTGCTGTATTGTACATTGCTCTATGTTACTCTTTTGTATCGTCATTAGCACAGTATACATGATCCCATTTTAAGCTCCAAGACGCAGGCAATTTGAAAAAACAAAAATGTACAGTGAGGGAAAAAAGTATTTGATCCCCTGCTGATTTTGTATGTTTGCCCACTGACAAAGAAATTATCAGTTTATAATTTTAATGGCAGGTTTATTTGAACAGTGAGAGACAGAATAACAACAAAAAAATCCAGAAAAACGCATGTCAGAAATGTTATAAATTAATTTGCATTTTAATGAGGGAAATAAGTATTTGAACCCTCTGCAAAACATGACTTAGTACTTGGTGGCAAAACCCTTGTTGGCAATCACAGAGGTCAGATGTTTCTTGTAGTTGGCCACCAGGTTTGCACACATCTCAGGAGGGATTTTGTCCCACTCCTCTTTGCAGATCTTCTCAAAGTCATTAAGGTTTCGAGGCTGACGTTTGGCAACTCGAACCTTCAGCTCCCTCCACAGATTTTCTATGGGATTAAGGTCTGGAGACTGGCTAGGCCACTCCAGGACCTTAATGTGCTTCTTCTTGAGCCACTCCTTTGTTGCCTTGCCCGTGTGTTTTGGGTCATTGTCATGCTGGAATACCCATCCACGACCCATTTTCAATGCCCTGGCTGAGGGAAGGAGGTTCTCACCCAAGATTTGACGGTACATGGCCCCGTCCATCGTCCCTTTGATGCGGTAAAGTTGTCCTGTCCCCTTAGCAGAAAAACACCCCCAAAGCATAATGTTTCCACCTCCATGTTTGACGGTGGGGATGGTGTTCTTGGAGTCATAGGCAGCATTCCTCCTCCTCCAAACACGGCGAGTTGAGTTGATGCCAAAGAGCTCGGTTTTGGTCTCATCTGACCACAACACTTTCACCCAGTTCTCCTCTGAATCATTCAGATGTTCATTGGCAAACTTCAGATGGGCCTGTATATGTGCTTTCTTGAGCAGGGGGACCTTGCGGGCGTTGCAGGATTTCAGTCCTTCACGGCGTAGTGTGTTACCAATTGTTTTCTTGGTGACTATGGTCCCAGCTGCCTCAAGATCATTGACAAGATCCTCCCGTGTAGTTCTGGGCTGACTCCTCACCGTTCTCATGATCATTGCAACTCCACAAGGTGAGATCTTGCATGGAGCCCCAGGCCGAGGGAGATTGACAGTTATTTTGTGTTTCTTCCATTTGCGAATAATCGCACCAACTGTTTGTTGTCACCTTCTCACCAAGCTGCTTGGCGATGGTTTTATAGCCCATTCCAGCCTTGTGTAGGTCTACAATCTTGTCCCTGACATCCTTGGAGAGCTCTTTGGTCTTGGCCATGGTGGAGAGTTTGTAATCTGATTGATTGCTTCTGTGGACAGGTGTCTTTTATACAGGTAACAAACTGAGATTAGAAGCACTCCCTTTAAGAGTGTGCTCCTAATCTCAGCTCGTTACCTGTATAAAAGACACCTGGGAACCAGAAATCTTTCTGATTGAGAGGGGGTCAAATACTTATTTCCCTAATTAAAATGCAAATCAATTTATAACATTTTTGACATGCGTTTTTCTGGATTTTTTTGTTGTTATTCTGTCTCTCACTCTTCAAATAAACCTATCATTAAAAATATAGACTGATCATTTCTTTGTCAGTGGGCAAACATACAAAATCAGCAGGGGATCAAATACTTTTTTCCCTCACTGTATATAGTGCTGATTTATTGGCACGTAGGACCATGTCGCGTGCCGTAGTTTAAAAACTCCATGGATAGTGATAAAACCATGACGTCAAATCTGAATTCACAAATCTTTATGCAACTTCGCCATTTGAATTTTTAATCACCTGCAAATGATGTAAACTGGAACAACCATCTGACCCAGTAACGGGTGCAGTTACAAACCGTTTAGATAAATGGATGCTATTTATCTTTGTGTAGCTTAAGATCAACCAATCAGATGATGTGCATGCAAAAACAGATATTGAAACAAACAATTATGAAAATCAACCTGCAATAGAGCATGCTGGGATATATGATAATGGTTGGGTGTGGTTTTGAGTGTTACTCCACACAGAGTAAAAATTACACAATCACACAACTGGTTATTAACACCAACACATTTTAAATTTACATTTTAGTCATTTAGCAGACGCTCTTATCCAGAGCAACTTACAGTTAGTGAGTGCATAAATTTTTTCATACCAAGTTAATTAAACTCCTGAATCAACACTATAAATGTCACACTGAAAAATCCACACTAGTTAATAATAATAAAGAATAATATGCCATTTAGCAGACGCTTTTATCCAAAGCGACTTACAGTCATGCGTGCATACATTTTTGTGTATGGGTGGTCCCGGGGATCAAACCCACTACCTTGGCGTTACAAGCGCCGTGCTCTACCAGCTGAGCTACAGAGGCACTGGCCAATTTGCTGTGTACCATACAATACACTGCTGGTTCACTCAGACTCCCCTCTATTCTTCTATTCTCTGCTCAATAAAAATCACAGAAAATAATAATTTGAAAGTTTATATCTTTGCCATGATTTCTTTCTATGTCAGTACTGTACATGTAAAATGATTAAAACCTCTTAAATGTAACTACATGTAACATAAAATGTAATCTACGTAATCCCTCAAAGTAATTATTTATCATGAGAGGACCATGAACAATAACTATTGTCATCAAATCAAATCAAATCAAATGTTATTGGCCACATGCGCCGAATACAACAGGTGCAGACATTACAGTGAAATGCTTACTTACAGCCCTTAACCAACAGTGCATTTATTTTTGACAAAAAAGTAAAAATAAAACAACAACAAAAAAAGTGTTGAGAAAAAAAGAGCAGAAGTAAAATAAAATAACAGTAGGGAGGCTATATATACAAGGGGGTACCGGTGCAGAGTCAATGTGCGGGGGCACCGGCTAGTTGAGGTAGTTGAAGTAATATGTACATGTGGGTAGAGTTAAAGTGACTATGCAT